GTGTCACCACCCCCTGGGTATAGTTTTGGTCCTGCCACCACCACCAGTCCCTGCCTGCTGTATTCAGCCATGCAGGGATCAGTGGTGGGCTGGGACTGACCATTTCCAGAAACTGGAATTGTGCCAGCAAAGTGCCTGGGGTTTTTCCCTGTGCTGACTGAAAAAGGAGCCTGGATTTGTTACAGAGGCATGCCACTTTCACCTCCTGAATTGCCTTCAGCACTAATCTTCCTTCAGTGCAGATCTAGAACTGGGAACTCCTGCTAGCACAGGGAAACCTCGACAGGACAGCCAATCCCTTCCTGCTCTGATCCATCTGCTGATGGGACAACTCTGGAACCATGTGCCTGTGGGCAGAGCAACCAAACCAAACTGGCCATGTGCTGTTTGTGGGTTCAAATCATCCCAAAAAAACCTCTGGGCTGAGGTTGATCAACTTTGCTGTCATCCACAAAAGCTTCTTGCACAAAAACATCCTTTTTTTTTTTTTTTTTTTCAAGGCTGCGGATTTTAGAGCTTTGGTCACTCGAAAAAAATGTATATAAATCATGCAGACATGCAGAGCCCTGCGGCTGCTGCGGGCAGAGGGGAGGCACTGCCAGGGAGAGACTGCAGCCCTGTGCCAACCCCATGGAGCTGTGAGCTCTCCTCTCCCCTGCACTAAAAGTCTTTGTCCCCATCCTGGACTTCGTCCCATTTAACCCCATGGCCTCTCCCATCCAGGTTCTAGGTTTGCAGTGACAGAAGTGGTGCCGTTCCTGGAGGCTACAAAGCTCCAAGGAAGAGCCAGATGGCAGATTCCCTCCACAAAAGGCATGCAGGTTGTGCTGCATTCAATTGCTCAGAACCCTACCCAATCCCAAGGATTTGGTGGGGCTTGGAGGGTAGGAAGGAGATGGGAACAAGCTTCCCCTTACTACCTGGAAGTGTCCAAGGCCAGGTTGGACAGGGCTTGGAGCAACCTGGTCCAGTAGAAGGTGTCCTTGTCCATGGCAGGGAGTTGGAACTAGACCATCTTTAATGTCCCTTCCAACCCAAACCATTCCATGATGCTGTGAAGGATGAAGCTTTTAAGGTATGGCATCTGTACAGCTGCAGCCTCCCGCAGCCTCCCTGGGTATTTATTCTTCTGAAATTTACTAATGATTGATTGTTTATACAATTAAAAGGCCACTGGTCTGACCCCAGAGCAGTGGTTACCCTGTAAACTGGCAGATGAAAAATTACACTGGTGCCTGACTCAAGAAGTGCAAGTAGCTGCAAGCTCATGCACATGACCTGGTGGTGCCACCTCCCTTGTCCCCAGCCTCGCTGGCACAGCCATCCCTCCCTGCCATCCCTCCCTGCATCCACAGGGACACAGCTCTCAGCTTGGCCACAGGCTGCGGCTGCAGCTTCAGCGTAAACAAATAAAAGCAATTAATGTCCAGGAAACAGAAAATCCTGCAGGGTGCAGGGCTGTTAACCCACACCTTCCCCAGCTGCGTGGGAGGGAATGTGTAACTGTGTGGTTTGGCCTGATGAGCCCTGAGTGGGTTTCTAGGAATTGTTTGCAGCACGTATCACCATAGCACCCCAAGGCAGGAGCACAGGCTGCTGCTAGAATTCAGAATTCATGGCTGCCTGTCCTCTCCCTGTCCTGGCAGAGGGCAAAAACAGACTTCAGACCGACTGGATTCATCCTTTCTCATGACCTTTACATAACTTTGCTCTTTTTCAACGACTGCTGCCAGGGAAGCAGTACACTCCTCATCCTAATCTGCAGCAAGCCATCCTAGAATCCCAAAATGTTTTGGGTTGGAAAGGACCTTAAAACTCATCTCATCTCAACCCCTCTGCCAGGGACAGGGCACCTTCCACTAGATTAGGTTGCTCCAAGCCTCATCCCACCCAAAAATCCTCCAGCTAGTGATATTTAAATAATTTCTCAGCTCTGAAGCCACAATCCCACAACAAGTGCACCTCTCCATCCCACTAAAAACCTGTGTGCCGCTGTGTATCACCTTGGCACAGCTACTGGGATGCTCCATACCCAACCCTGCTCATGCCAGGGAGGAACTGGTTTGGCACCAAACAAACAACTGTTTAATGTTTACCTGAACATCTGTATCTATATATTTGTGTTCAAGAAAACCAGAACACTTTAAGACTGTCCACAATATTTCCCTCCCCATCCCCGGGAAAAAAAAAAAAAAAAAAAAAAAAAAAAAAAAAAAAAAAAAAAAAGTGAGATGCTTGTGGTGTTTTCAGCCAGGAAAAAAAACCCAGATGGGATATAGGGGGGACATGACCCTGATGTGCCCTGGAGAAGACCAGCAGGGAGCAATCCTTCGGTGACCTTTGGAGACGCGCCCCAGCCCGTGTCTGCGCAAGGAGCAGGCGGCAGCTCCAAGGCAAACACCGGGAGCTGCTTCTTCTCCCAGCTCAACTACGCATCTCCTTCCCGTGGCCTCCAGAGCTCCCCGGGTGTCAAAGTCATTAAAGGAAAATCCGCCCACAGCCATTCCAAACAAACACGGAGGAAAACCGCTGCCCACCTCTCTCCTTCAGGAAGCCCTTGAGATACCGGTATCGGAGGAATTTAAGGCAAAATCTGCTCATCCCTGCCCTCCTTAAGCTCTTCCCCAGCACCCTCACCTGACCACTGGACCAACCGCGGCTGGATGAACCACAATTTTGCGTGGCACAGAGGGAAAGATCCCGCATCCCTCGGCATCCCGCAAGCACCGTGCACGGCACACCGACCACCCCCCGCGCCCATCCCGGCATCCCGCTTCCCCCGCAGGGAAGGATGCTCCCGGCGCGGCGGGGATGCGGGAGCGCACCGGGAGCTCGCTGGGGACCCTCGGGTGTCCCGGGGGGAGAGGAGGGGACCGCAGGGAGGGGATCGTCCGCAGTGTCCGCTCTCAGTGCCCGCACTCAGTGCCTGCTCTCCATCTCTCGCACTCCATGTCCACACTCATCTCCCGCACTCATGCCCTGCACTCAGTGCTGGCTCTCCCGTCCCGCACTCACGGCTCTCGGTGTCCCCTCGGTGTCCCCTCGGTGTCCCCTCGGTGTCCCCTCGGTGTCCCGCTCTCCCCCGCCCTGTCCCGCTGCCGAGTCCCGGCGCCTCCGGGGCCCCGCGGCCGCCCCGCGCATGCGCGCCCCGCCCCGCCCCGGGGTGGCCCCGCGGGCCGAGCCCGGCCCGGCCCAGCCCGGCCCAGCCCGGCCCAGCCCGGGCCGCACAAAGCGCGGCTCAAACCCGCGGCACCGCCCAGATCCCGCCACCCCAGGGGTGGGTGCGGAGAAAAGCCCAGTGACACATCCCGGAGAGGGGTGTAAAGTCACGGACTCACGGAGTCGCTCAGGTTGGGAGACATCTCCGAGGTCAGCGAGTCCGACCTGTGACCGCTCCCAGCCCAGAGCGCTGAGTGAGTGCCACGTCCTGTTGTTGTTCCTTGGACACCGCCAGGGATGGGGACTCCGGCACCTCCTGGGCAGCGCCTTCCATGAAGAAGTTCTGCTCCATGTCCAACCTGCACCTTCTCTGGCCGCAGCTTGAGGTTCTGTCCCTTGTCCTGTCCCTGTTCCCTGGGAGCAGAGCCCGACCCTCCCCTGGCTGTCCCCTCCTGTCAGGAGCTGTGCAGAACCTGAAGGGCTCCCCTGGGCCTCCTTTTCTCCAGGCTGAGCCCTCCAGCTCTCTCAGCCGCTCCTCACAGGATTTACAAGTCACTGCAAGGTGGTTGGGGATGGAAAGGACCTTTGGAGATCACTCTCACAGATGAGGATTCTACATTTAAAGTCAAAATCACAGGACTGGCGGCTATGGGCACCCACTGAAGCACAGGAGGAATCTCTGAACACCAGCAATCTGAACCCTCTGAACACCAGGAAACACTTTTTTACTGTGAGGCCAAGAACTGGCACAGGTTGCCCAGCAAGAGATACCTCCATCCTTTGAGGTATTGAAAATCCATCCGGACATGGACCTGGGCAACCTGCTCTGTGTCCCCCTAAATGAGCAAGGGGGCTGGACCAGGTGACTTCCATGAAGTGGGGGGAACCCCCTGATTTCAGTGCTATGGACATGTAAGTGTGGAGGAGCAGATGATTTTCCACAAGATTTCCAGGCTAAAGGCAGTATGGCCTTGAGCCAGCACCAAAATCTTTGGGCTTCAGAAAACAGGCATTTCCACCCAAATGGCCTTTCAGGAGCAGCCTCTGGGCTCCTGAGCTATGCCTGAGAAATGTGTGGGAGAGGCTGAGGGATGCTGGATGGAGCTGTGCCAAAGCCACAGTGGTGGGTTTGGCTGTAGGGTCACCATGACCCCAGGAGCAGGTTAATTTATGAGTTACAGAGTTTGCCCTCTCCGGGCTCTGCCTCAGCTGGTTCATGCAGGTTCTGCTGCTCCAGCTTGTCAGAACCACTGTTTTTTGATAGGTTTATGAGGAAAACAGAAGGACTGCTTGTTCTGCAGGGAGAGGATTCATGGAGAGGCAGCCCAGGAATGTGACTTTGTGGCTCTGATAAGATCTCTGCAGCCTGGGTGAAGGTTCAGCACATCCCAGCACAAATCTCACAGCACGTGGGAGAGCCAGTGCCCCCAAAGTGAAGAGGGAAAATATTCAGGGTGAAGAAGGTGGGAAGGAGCCTCAATTTTTCCCTGTAATTGCGCTCAGGGATGTGGATGAGATACAAGGGCAGCTACCAACCCCCCCCCCAGTGACATCTTGCACTTGTTTTCTGTCCCTCTAAGACATCTCCTGAAAGACCCAGAGGGATTCTGCCCCTCTGCTTCATTCTGGTGAGTACCCACCTGCAGAGCTGCCTCCAGATCTGGGACCCCCAGCAGCAGAAGGACGTGGGGCTGCTGGAGAGAGTCCAGAGGAGGCCACAGAGCTGTTCCAAGGGCTGGAGCCCTCTGCTCTGGAGCCAGGCTGGGAGAGCTGGGGGTGTTCATCTGGAGAATAGAAGGATCCAGGGAGAGCTCAGAGCCCCTTCCAGAGCCTAAAGGGGCTCCAGGAGAGCTGGAGAGGGACTTGGGACAAGGGTTGGAGGGACAGGACAAGGAGCAATAGGCAATAGAGGGCATAGGAGGTGGGACATAAAATACAACCCAGGCAGATGGGGATGGTGGGAGGTGACATCCCTGCTGCAACATGGACACTGCAATGCTGCTGGGCCACCTGCACCTATTTTATCCTAATTAATGCATTTTTACCTTGTTTAACTTCAAGGCCTGCCCCAGGGCAGCCATGGGAAGGGCAGAATGCAGCTCTCTGTGGGATATCTGCTCTCCTGGGGGGGTGCTGACAGCCTGTTCTGCACCCCAAGCCTGGTGAATGCTGCACAGTGAGATCTCTTTGATCACTGGCTCTCAGGTGAGTGGTACCAAGCCATGCTCTGTAGTTCATCTCAAATTTACCCTGCTGTGCTGGAGTCCCTATTACTCCCTGCCATTGACATTTTAAACCCTGAAATGAATCACCAGCTCCCTCCCAAGTCAAAACCCAGGTGTGGTTGTGTTTGCCAGAGATTAGTCCCAGAATAAAGACTGGGTTGTACCAGGCTGAGCTGTCCCTACCCTCTACAGTCATCCGATAGGATTCAAATACACTTTTTACCCTCAAACATGTCCTGAATGCCTTAATTCCCCACCCAAATGTGCATCATAGAATGGTTTGGGTTGGAAGGGACCTGCAAAAGGTTGTCCTGTTATTTTTAGGTGCTCAGAGTTATTACTCAAAAACAAAGGATCTTCTTTTGTGGATCAGGGTCTCCCTCCATCAAGAAGCATCTACACACACCATGTCCACACTGTGCTGCTGAGGAGCAATGTAGCAGCTCTGCACCAAAGACAACTGAGGTATTCCAAGCACCAAATGTAATCCAGAAAGTAGGAGTTACCTTTTCCCTCTGCTTGCCTGTAATGAAGAATTTTGTTGACTTGTTGTTATTGTAATAGCGTAAAAGTGAAATTTTTGTGCCCTGTCTGTGCCCATATGGATCTCCTTCCCACTGGGCAAGAATTGATGCTCATCATCTGTTTGGCAAGTTTTAAATAAAAATTCTGCAGATGCAGAATTAGAACATGAAGAACACATTAGAGTACTAACTCTTTCTTTAACTAATAATTTTTAAAAAATGTCCATAAAAGCTCTGGGTTACCAAGTTCAGCCTCTGCAATCAGAAAGAAGCACTTGATACAGTTAATTTCGGCACCATCAGCTGTTCCCCACGTGTTGCACAAGGATTGTGTAGCGATTTGGGGTCGGGACTTTCCTGCCTCCTCGTGGTTTGCCCGCAGCAGTGACAGCCCATTGTGACTGTGATGGGGTTACTAAAGTGCCTTACACGGCTGTGGCTTCCCACCTTCCCATCAGGGCAGGGAATGGATCCAGAGCAGCCCTGGGGAGAAGGATTTGGAGATACTGCTGGGTGAGAGCTGGACATGACCCATCCCTGAAACCCTTCAAGTCTTTGGCTGATCCTCCAGCATGGGCAGCAGGAGAAGGGGGGGATTCTGCTCCTCTGCCCTGCTCAGGTGAGACTCCACCTGCAGAGCTGCTCCAGCCCTGGGGCCAACAGCAGAAGGACGTGGAGCTGCTGGAGAGAGACCAGAGGAGGCCACGGAGATGTTCCAGGAGCTGGAGCCCCTCTGCTCTGCAGCCAGGCTGGGAGAGTTGGGGATGCTCACCTGGAGAAGAGAAGGATCCAGGGAGAGCTCAGAGCCCCTTCCAGTGCCTAAAGGGGCTCCAGGAGAGCTGGAGAGGGACTTGGGACAAGGGATGGAGAGGCAGGACAGGGGGGAATGGATGAAAAAGGGCAGGGTTAGATTAGATAAGTGATGTACACTTCCCTGGAAGTGTCCAGGGCCAACGGACAGGATGTGGAGCAGCTTGGGATAGTGGAAAGTGTCCCTGCCCATGGTAGAGGGTGGAACTGGATGTTCTTTTAGGTCCCTTCCAACCCACACAGTTCTGTGATTCCGTGATTCTAAAGCTGGACATCACTTGCTGAAGTGACCAGTGGATCCTGCCCTAGGGTGGAAAGCAGCTCCTAGAGACCCTGAGGAAGAGGCAGAGATGTTTTGCATATAGATGGATGATTTCTAGGCTTGAGGGTGAAGAAAATTAGAGAATAGGAAGGAAAAAAAAAAAAAAAGAACCAGCTGTCACTGTCTTTAGTAACAGCCAGAAGTCACGAGAGCAGATGAGGAGACCAAAATAGCAACACCAAACCTCAGCTCTGTGTCTGGACCCTTTGGATTTCCCAGTAAATGGGGTTGGGTTGCCCCCTTCCAGAGCTTTGTTGTTGATTCAGCCACTGCTCTGGTTTAATTTGGAATTCAGTTTTCCTTATGCCCGCAGGCAGGGCCTGTGTGGGTTTGTTTTGGTTTTCTATTAATTGCTGTATTTTCTTCCTGCACAGCAGGAAAACAGGATGAATACCCATGGGATCTGGGGTAGCTGTGCATCAGGAGCAGGACCACAAGAAGATTTTATGTTCCCATCACTGTGTTAGGGCCATGCTAGAGGCATCTGGGAGGAAAAACAAATCCATATGCTCTGGGCTCATACTCTGGGAAGAAGGAAGGTGGTTACAGCCCATCCAAACACTCTGAAGGTCAGAGCTTTAACTCCTTACCCACTTTCCTGTACTCTCCTGGTCAGATACCAGCAGCTCCTGTGCCTTTCAGTAAAGAAATTCTGTTTACACACCCTGATAGTAGTTTTCCATGTTTTTCTTCTCCACAATTAGGAAAAAAACCCAAGAGCTAGAACCGTTTAAAGATTTACCAGAGTGTGTGGAAATAGCAAATATTTAAAGAAAATAATGTCAGAAATGCCTGAGCTGTGTGAAGATGCAACGGGGTGAAATTCTCCAGCCTACATAAGGGAAAAGGTCAGGAGAGAAGATGAAGAAGGGCCCCTGCAGCATTAAATTATTTGTGAGGAGAGTCAGGACAACACTCTGCTTGTGAGAGTGAATCATGCCCTGGTTAGGGTTCAGCTCCTGCAACTGCAGCTTCAGGAGAGCCCAGTAAATATAAATCCCTTTAATCCCTTGGAAAATGCAAAATTTACCCTGATAGAAACATCTCATAGGTGGTCTCCCTTCTCCACATAATTTCAGTTCTAAAAAGTGACTTTTTTCCATTCCAAACATTGCATTCCATGTTATTATTCTTCTATTTTATTACAAATAGATTTGCAGCTTCCACTCCAATGTGTTGCTTGATGATCAGGTGACACTCCATCAAATTTGGGATATTCTCCTCCCATTTTTGGAGCTGTGAATGAGCCACAAGCCTCTCCCCTGCCCTTCATGGTTGAGGCGAGGCTGCTCACTTCCCTTTGCTGCAAGGAAAGCGAATAGATGGCAATGTAATAATTGAGCTGCGGCTTGAAAAGTGACATTTAGTTGAACTAAGAGGAAAAACAAAACGAACAATAAACAACAAAGATGACAGCAACAACAAAACCCCACAATTCCCAGAATCTCAGAAAGACCACAGGGTACCATTAAACCTCAGAAACCGAGTACAGGTGGATGCTGATGCACAGAGGCATGAGGAAGGGATGGGAAAATCCCTTAAAAGTGCTCCATGTGCAATTCACCCCTGGATGCTCCTGCATCCACCCTTGAGCTGTTTCTCTGCAAGCCCTCCAGACCTGGCCCTCTGCGTGCTAAGTGCTTAATTCCTGTTTTTATTCCAGTGGATGGGAAGTGCTAAAAGTCCCTGTGAGCTTGTGCTGCCTTTCCACCTCCAGAATGCAGCAGGGAGGTGAAGCCAGGGGGACCTTGGGCACAATGCTGGGGAGTCCCAAAAGGCAGGGAAGGCTTTTTGCTTCTTTCCAGCCTTCTCCCCCTCCCTCCATCTCTCCGTCCTCCTCGGCCTGCCCTGCTGCCATGAATTATTCAGGCGAGCAGCAGTTGCTATAGGGCGCTGTCATGAATAACAACAGCGGCTATTTTTATCCCTAACTCCTGTTACCTTTCCTGCCAGCTCCTGGCAGGAGGAAAAGTGCAGCCATCCATGTCTCTGCAGGCTGGGATTCGTTTTGACCACCCAAATGTGGGTGAGATCTTGTGCATTCTGCATAGATGTGCCTGAATCCTACCCTGGTACCCTCTCTGTGCTCTCCTCACGGGGTGCTTTGTACCCATATTTTATTTTTTCCACCCATATTTTATCTGCAGACTGTCCATTGCTGGATTTAACATTCTGCCTGCTGCAGAGGGAGAAAAAGCATCTTAGAGGTGAAATCTTGCAGCGGGTTCTGGCAGTTTATATGGGATAAATCATATTTCCTTTATGGGCTTACACAGATTCCTCCAGCCAGTTTAGATCCTCAGCAGATGATGTGCCCATTAAAAAAAAAAAAAAAGTAAATATAAAATAGAAATAGAGATAGAAATAATAGAAATAGAAATAGAAATAGAAATAGAAATAGAAATAGAAATAGAAATAGAAATAGAAATAGAAATAGAAATAGAAATAGAAATAGAAATAGAAATAGAAGTGCCAGAGGCACGCCAAAGGTTTTCTCTGTTCATTCTTTGTGCTTTCTCCACTCAGAAAAACAAGAAATGTCCAGCAAATCAGAGGGAAGGGGTGGATTTGAGGAGGAGCTGGAGGGAAACGGGTCCTGCTGAGTGTGCAGAAGCAGGGAAAATATTCCAGCTGCAGGGAACATTTCTGGAGCTAGTAGGATAACCTGGAAGATTAAAAAAAAAAAAAAAAGAAATATGGAAAGGAAAAAGAAAATAAATGAAAATAAAAAGGAAAAGGTAAAGGAAAAGGAAAAGAAGAAAAGGGGACAAAGCAGAAAACAGCAACAGAGCATAATATCCTTTATTTCTGCCAACCTGCCAAACTGAATACTGCAACAAATTATTCCAGAGCAGGGCTAAAAGGCCTAAAAAGGAGGTCTGAACTTTGTGAAAAAAAATCTCTCAGGAACAGGACAAATACCCAGGAGGTGGACTGCACGTATCCCAAAGGAGAGTTGCCAGGCATTTCCAGTGAGGGATCTGATCCAGGCACACAAACAGAAAATGGGAAACGGGGCAAAGGCTGTTTCCTGCTCCTCTTCTGAAATACCAATCGCAGCTGCTCCCTCTGGAGAGGAGAGATCAGGCAGCGGGAATTCTGTGCCTCAGCCCAGCAGAACCCGGAGTGAATATTTATTCCCAGGATTACTCTGGAAAAACTGCGGTGAGCCATAATATCCAGGGGACACCGCCAAGTTTGTGTGCCTGGTATGCCTTGCTGATCAGAATACTTTTGTCATGCTTTTTATTATTTTCCTATTTTTAAAGAGGAGTTTAGATAAAGATTTTTAAGGGATACACGGTGGTTATTTTAAGGGGGAGCAGCAGGTTTCCCTGTAGGCAGCGGCACTTTTGATTCCTGCCTACAATAGGAATTCCTTCCTCCTCTTAGGAGACTTAAAGGAGGCTTGGAAAAAAGAGGGAAAGGGAGTTTTTACACAAGCAGATACTGATAGGACAAGGGTGACTGGTTTTTAACTTGCCAGACAGCAGGGTTAAGTGGAATATTGGGGAAGAAAATCTTTTCCTGTGAGGGTGGTGAGGGCCTGGCACAGGGTGCCCAGAGAAGCTGTGGCTGCCTCTGGAAGTGTCCAAGGCCAGGTTGGACAGGGCTTGGATCAGCTTGGGATAGTGGAAGGTTTCCCTGCCCATGGCAGGGGTTTGGAATCAGATGCGCTTTAAGATCCCTTCCAACCCCAAAAATTCTGGGATTCTAAGACACATCCAAAATCGCCTTTTCCATTCCAAATGCCACAGGACCTGTCGATTTTGGGTGTTCACTCCCAAACTGCTGGAGTCACACCGGGGCCACGCTGAAGGAAAAAGCAACGCCCACTCAGCCTGTAGGGGTTGAAAACACCCGGAAACGGGGCTCACCAAAATAAAACATAAAAACCAAAATCCTAAATTAGTTTTTAATTAGTTTTTTGGGTTTTTCTTGGTTTGGGGTGTTTATGTTGTTTCCTTTTTAAAATATTTCCTTTTCCCTAAAGCGACATTTTCCTTCCAAGGGCCGGAGTCGGGATCAAATCCCACCCCGGTA